TTTTTTTTTTTTTTTTTGTTTCTGATCAAATCTTAGTTTAATATTTACTGCAACAACAGTTTCACCAGAAAATAGTATTTTCTTATTTATTGCCAGTCTTCCTCGTTTCTCTTCACTTGGCTTTTCCTTTGCTCTTTTCTGCTTTTTGTAGACTAAAGTATTGAAATCCAGTTACAATGAAAAGAAAAATTGTTTACTTTTTTTGGAAGGGAGGTGGGGAGAGGAGGGTGGAGCATTATTGGCAAAGCAGACAGATGAATGTTACTGTCAAAAAACTTTAAGACAGTCTTGAAATGTAAAAAGGAAAGAAAAAGGCAGATAAGAAAAGATAGGAAGAAAACCTGTAAAATGCTGTCTCTCAGTGTTCCGTCGTCGATTGGTTGGTTTATCTTAGAGCATTGTATGTTTTTTCTTAAGTGAGAATCGAAAGCAAGCAATCCAAAATGAACATTCAAGAAAAAGACAAAACTGACCTTTTAGCAGTACCCCCGTCAAATAAAAAAGAACATTGGCAAGTGAAAAAACACTGCCCCTCTTCCGTTTATCGTTATCCTGTTTCCTCGTCCTCCCAATTCCCCACTACCACTTTTTCATTTTTCAACACTTATTATCCCAAATTTATCCGGCAACAAACAACTACAAAAATTGCCCTTTTGTTGCAATCCTTTTTTCCCTTCTTTTTTTCTTGCTTTTGTCGTTACTAGTTGCTAATATGATTGTCATAAGAAAATTAAACTTCTTTTTTTCTGTTTTTTAGGTGTAGCCAAAAAAAAGGAGAAAGAAAGAGCAAATTATGCACACTTTTAACATTGATTAGCACACCCAATAAATTGCCACTTTTTTCTTTCTTAACCCCTAAGTGTGCTAGTTGTCTGTGTTCTTTTTTTTTTGTTGTTGTTCTTGTTGCTTTACACCTATGCATATATTCAGTTATTTGAAGCGTTAAAAATTTAGGTAACTAATTTTTTTAAGTAAAAAAAAAACTAAATAAAAAAATTGTTCCTCAATTTTACTTTTCTATTTAGTTTATTTTAAACGATTATTATTATTATTATTGTTGCTGTTGCAGTCATTATTACTATTATTACTTAAATTCTTTTTCTTCCTTAACTGTTAAACCGTTCTTTTTTCCATTTCTTCTTCTTCTTGATCTTCTTTGTTCAGCATAGAAATTGTGTCCAAGGAGAAAAGGAAGTCGAAACTTTCCTCTTTTCCTCTAATAACAATTACCAATCGAATAGACCTTAAAAAACGCGCTCTATTGGTGAAATTCCATAGCAGTGAAAAAAAAAACGGTGATATTACCCCATTTTCTCTTTTCAGCCTCTCTCATTTCCCGCAGTCCAAAAAGAAATGAGCAAATATTGAAAAAAAATAAAATTTAAGATTTAAATAAACAGTAAGTATAAAAACAACATCATTCTGTCGCCTTATTGCAACAGCAATACATAAAGTTGTCAAATTTTCGTTTGTTTTATTTCGTCCCACGTTTCTCTCTATAACATCAGCTTTTTTTTCAGCAGTTTGTCTGAAAGCAAACCGAAGCAGAAAAATTGAAAACAAAGCTAAGATTTAGGCAAATAACGAACACTAAGTTAAAGGAAGGCGGCGAGGTGGAAGATGACGGCGAAAGCAAACGGGGAGAAAGAGGGAGAACTGCTTTTTGAGAAATCGTATCTAAACTTTTCCTATTTCACAACAAAAAAAAAAAGCAGATTTTTGCTTGGGTTGAAAATGAAAAGAATCATACTTTTGGCTTCAGATTAAATCTGTTCTTTTTTTTTCATTGTTAAAGGCTTGTGTATTTGTCTATGTTTTCTAAAAAGAATTTTGCAGCTAAAATATTTTTTTGTTATTTTTTTCCTACTTCTTGTCCTATATGTTTCATCAGTGTTTATGCATATTGGCTTGGCATAGAGGCTGTAAAGAACAAAAATGAACCAATGTAAAGCGCGAAACACGAGTTTCACAAGATTAACTGCACTAGCAATGCTTCCTCTTTTTTTGCTGCGGATAT